ACATTTTCTTGTCGGAACGGAAAATTGTTGACTAGTTTAACAAAAAAAATTTCATTTATATCAAAAATTAAAGATTTGAATGAAAGGCAGTTATATCCATATCTTTAAATCGAACTATTTTATTCGAATGTCTAGTATCTTCTCTCTCTCTGGAAAGATCACATTTTATTTAGATATTTATTTACATTTCCTAGATACTGTTTAGAAAGTTTTTAACTTTCTCAATAAGAATTGTTCGATTCATTATTAATAACAGAAAAGAATTCAATAGTTGAAAAACAAAATTAAGATTTTTAAAGTAAAACTTCTTGACAAACGAGTATTTCGTAGAAACTCACTTTGGATGAATATTCTGATTGTTTCTCATTATTTCTTCCATATGTTTTTTGTATGTGCGTTTCAACGCCGCTATTTCTTCATCAAGTTGGGCTTTCTGTAAAAAAAAACCAAAATCAATAGAATATTACAAGCTTACATACATACATACACAATTAATGAAAATAAAAGATCTGATATTTGTCCTAAGTATCTTAAGATTTTTCTATAGAAATAACAAATCTATTGTCATTGATTTAATCTAAGATTTGTTGAAGATCATACAAAGAACTTTCTGATTTTTATGAAAAAACAAAACTATATTTTTTTTCTGATAAACTACCTCACTGAAAAATTGATTATATATCACTTTTATGAGTAATTCTAATTAGGTTATCTATTTAATAAATGAACATACGTTTTCAGGCCATAATTGTGTTCTCTGACTTAATTGATCACAAAAGATAAGTGCATTTTGCCAGGCTGCAAGTGCATTCATTGTACGACCAGCTAAATAATCTTTTTTAGCTTGTTCATCAATAGCAATAATAGCTCGATGAAGATAAGAAAATGACCATGATTGAGGTTCCCAAATATGTGAACGTTGTGAACAAGCTGTTGATGTTCTACCGGTTGGTAATTTCGTTGATGGATAAACTAAATTAAACAATATCAATATTATTTATTTATCACATTACTTTTTTATAGATTTGAAATAAAGTTGAAATTGATTTATTTAGAAATCGGTATATCACCAAAAGAGTAATTAGAATAAAGATTTCGTTTTGCTCTGCTTTATTCTACTATAAACTAAAATCTATAGTTAACAAATTTGATTATTTTTTAAAAGATTTTTTTTTTATCAAATTAATTTTCAATCTCTTTAAATAATATTTCACAAATGTACCATGAATTTCATCACATTCTTCATTGAGATCGAGATAAACCGGTTTGACTCGTGGTGCACGTCGATAATAGATAGATCGTGCACTTAATATTCTTCTTGTACTTGTGCTTATTGCTGATTGATCTAAATTTATACAAAAATAAGTATACTTAATATAATAAAACAAATAACTAATCACTTCGACTTTTTGCTGTTCTACAACGTGTACGTACACTGTTGGCATCAATATCGTCTACAAAATAGGGATATCGCTTGTTTAGTCGTCTACTAGGAGGTACTGGATTATTAAAATTTCCATTGTTGGTAAATAATTGCCAGTCTGTCAATCGCACTTGTTTGCTTCTCGCTGATTTTGATGTCATTAGGAAAGGATGTTAACACAACTCAAAGAACTCTATTATGTTCCATTTCGTCTGTTCGTTTTTTCTTGTTAATATTCTTTCAATTCTTTTGCAATTATTCAATCAAATATAGTGAAAGACATCTATCACCAAACATTTTCTCTTCAACAACAATGTTACAAATCTCATTTAACTGTTCGATCAAATATTGTTTCGACGACATTGCACAACAACAAAAATTGACATGATGATAGTTGATCTTCTACCTTGAATTTTCTTTCATTCATATGACTTTGAAACGTAAATAAAATATGTCTCCAATGTCTTTATTTATGTTTTACAATAAAATTAATAAGTAAATATTATCTTAAATAATTATTCTACTTTCAAACATTCGTACTTATTTTATAGATGGTCTTGAACATCTGTTTACTTTGAATGATGACTAGATTATCATTTATATGATATAAACAACAGAAAATATTAAATTAATAATAACTATGTGCCGTTATATTGAAGATTTATTTTAAAAAATATTCTATTTATGAAAATGATAACTTGTATTCTAATAATAAAAAAATTGAAAATATATAAATTTAACACCAAAATGATGATAGACTTGGTCAAATGTACTAACTAAATACAATATCAAATTATTCTCGAAAATATTTTATATATTTTCAATGTGATTTAACATGTCTATGAAAAGTGTCGAATTCTATAATTTACTTAATAAATTCATACATATATACTTCAATGTGTGTTGCATAAACTTTTTTTGTTTAATAGATCTTAACAAATATACGAGTCAAAATACTCTAAATGATAAGAAAATTTTGTCGAAATGTGGATGATTCGTGATGAATTCAACTTGACAATAATGATCATAATATGTTAATATGTGTCGCATGGTCAGATAATTTAAAAAACCAATTAGTGAGAATGTCATAAATTGACAAAGTTTAAACTATATTAAATTTTCTTATCAAAATAATAAATATTGACTAATACGTTATCACATAGCTTGTTAGAAAATCATCTTGATGTGACTCGTTGTTCCTATTCGGTTGCATTAGAACATCGGATAAATAAAATTACAATGATACACATAACGGCAACAAATAAAAATTGATAGTTGGAAACATAAGCACATCAATTGTAGAACAATCTTGTACTTTTATATGAAAGAGGACAGATAATTAGTCGACCATTGATTGATGAAGTTTATGGAAAAATGTTAATATTGATCGTCAAGTTATTGAGAACAGAGATGGACAAAATCGCACCGCGCCCCCCCCCCCCGCGCTTCCCCGCGCCACTGCTCGTGCCTAGGCGCTACGCACATCTCTCTTTCTCTTTGCTCTACCAATCAGTTTCTCAAACTCCACCGAATACCGGGATGCTCTAAGCATGCGCTCATCGAAGCTCAGACTAGTGTAGCGTAGGCGTGAGCAACAGCGCGGGGAAGCGCGGGGAGGCGCGGTGCGACTTTATCCATCTCTGATTGAGAACATGATTATTATCTGCATATTCTAATTAAATTAGAAATAAATTTTAATTCGTAGAAAATTAATATAGAAAAAATTAAAACATTTCCCAATTCTCCTTCATTGTTAAACACAACGAAGGTATTATAGGAAAACTGAGAATTATTTAGTAGATGTTCGACTATTGTGTATAAGAGAACACAAGTGAATCAGTCAGAGAAAACACAAATATTGAAAATCTATATTGATAAACAAAACAAATGACTATAATTTTTGTTATGTTTTGTGAAGTAACCACTATTATTGATATATTATTCGAATATTTAAGAATGAATTGTTTATTTTTATTAACAATCTTTGTTTTAGATTCTTTTGTTTAAATATTATCTCAAGAAATAATCCTTAGTGATTATATTATAGTTTATGTTATTTATTTTTAACTTTTTCTTTTTATCTCTACGAAATTTCTTTTACTCGTAAGTTTTGTTTGAAGATCTAACATCGATCCATATTTTCTGTTCTTATATTTTGACTTTGAATTCCATGAGTTGAAAAATAGACATCAATGTAAATTTGTCTCTACTAGAATAAATCATCTTAATTCGCATATTGATATACTAAAATATAATAAACTCTGTCATTGTTTATAATATTTTTAAAATGCTTTTCATTTTTAATAGTATTTGCCAAACAATGAAACAATATTGTCTGATCAATTTTGTATTTATTTAATTTGACTTATTGTTAGATGAATATCGATTATTCGAATTAATCTAAGTTGTCATTAATTATTGACAAAAGAATGAATTTTGAAAATAAAAACATTTGTTCAAAGTTAATATAGTGTTAATAAAGTCTATTGGCATTATTAAAAAGATAATTCGTTATATTCATTATTGTTCTATTGAATGAATTGATTTTAATACTATTGATAAACAATACCCTACAAGCTTTTATTCTGAAATATAATCTATTCAATTTTAATAGACAATTAAATTCTTTTTCTTTCAAGCACAAAAAAAAAACAATATATTTAGACTTTTTCAATAAATTTTCTATATATTGTTTGCTGATTTTGATCTTTCATTCATGCATATGAAAAAGTGAGTGTGCGATTTTAGAATTTTTCTTAAGACTAGACTTGAGATTAATCTGTATAGTTTGTTTTAAAATGTTAAACAAGAATGTGAATTTACTACTTTGTTGAAGTATTTGAGAATATTATATTTTGGAATAAAAATTAATAAGTATTTTCTAAGACAAGTATAAAAATTAGTTCATCTTATAAAACGATAATGAACATATCGAATTATATTTTTTTTCAATGACTGCTCGGGCACTCTATAGATGAAAATACGATAAATAATCTGATGATAATTGAGTTCTATCGAAAGAATCTATTTTTATATTTTATATTCAGATATTCATTTGCCCTTTTAAATGTCGAATAATGAATAAGAAGAAAAACAAGTAGTAGAATATTCAAAGATTCGTCAACGAAAACTTGATAATATCAAATCAATGATAAGGAACATCTATCGAGAATAGTATATGATTTAATGTCGAACTATTTTATCTTAAGTGCAAGAGAAATATGTATAAGAAAAAAAAAAAAAAAGTGTCAAGCAACAAGAGAAAACAATAGGTTAAAACTACATTTTTTCGTTCTTCCAAATATAACAGAAACGAAAGAATGTTCTCTCTTCAGGTTCAAACGATTAAGAAGAAGTTAAAAGAATAAATGTTTTTTAATACACATTCTGGAATAGCTAATTATGAACCTAATGATCTAGTCTTATCTAAACGGATAAATTAATGTGTTTTTTTAAAAAGCTTCTATATTTGCTTTTCTTATTGATAAAGATGATTTGAACTCAATTTCTTTCTATTCTATTTACGTTATCATATTTATTTTTTCTTTAGAATATAAAGCGATTATTGAATTTGACTATGAATGATAAATTAATGGAGAACTTATCGACTGATCCAACACTTGAATTATCTTCGAAATTCTTTAAAAAAAGGACAAAGTCAATTGAATCTGAATGTAAAATCTGTGGTTGTTCAGCTCGTTACTCATATTTCGGTGTTCTTTCATGTATTTCATGTAAAATGTTTTTCAAACGAAATGCTGAACTTGGACAAGTTTGTTTTAATATTGATTTATCTTATTTAATTAATTTTTGTTCAAAGGAATCATTTAAATGTGACTTTGATGAACAATGTCAAATAAATATAAACAATCGTCATATATGTACTTCATGTCGATTAGCTAAATGTTTTAAATGTGGAATGAAAATGGAAAATTTTCGATTGTCTGGTTCGAAAATAAAAAATCAATCAAACAAAATGAAAACTCTATCAATATCTACAGATCTCGTCAAATTATCCAAAAGAAATGAAATTAAAATGGTAAAAATTTTTTCAATTTTTTGATTCTTCAACCTTATTTATCTAAGTGCGATGTTTTCTATTTTATTTCGTCTCAAGACGTAACATTTTATTTTTATTCAAATTCGAAAAAAAGTTAACTTAAATCAAATTTTATAGTTTATATTTAAAAAATAAAATTAAGTGAGCAATTAACACAATAAGAAAAATATTTTGAAAAACTAGTCACCTTTTTTATTGTTCAACTAATAAGGTAGAAATTATATTTTGATAAGCAATGTTTATCATTATATATAATAGTAATAGAAATGACTATCGTATAAAAACTGATCAATGAATAGGTTTTTATAGAAACACCTTAGACAGATGCGACTATTTAACTTCTAAAAAAGAAATAAAGACGCATTATATTCTATCTAATAGATTTTTGCTAAAATAATAACCGAAAAAAAAATGCTATTTTTATCAAAGAAAAACAAGTAAACAAAGATTTTTTTTTTCTATCGGAGTTGTCAGAACAAAATCAAACAAAAAATCAACAATGATTTATGATTCAATGCTCCTTTATTGCCTATTTAAAAAGTTGAAAATTACAAATCTTTCTCTTGTTTCCTTAAAAAATTATTGATTTTTCTTTCAATGAACTTTTTCTCATATCGTCATATATGATAATAAACATCTATTGTAGATATTTAATTATTAGAATATTTGTTGAATAATGATGAAATATTCTACAAATAGAGACCATTCTTTTTTACTATGAATACATGCAAAAAAGAAAGTTTTCTTGTCATTTCTATACGGAATGTATAAGCGACTAATTTCTTCATAAAAGAAAATAATGATTAATAATAAACTATCTTTATTTATCATTTTTTTTCTACTAACCATTTAACAAACATTCAAATTTCTCATCTTAATCCATATAACAGAGCACAAAAATCCATAGTGAATTTATATATGGAAAAAGTTATTTCACTTTTGTTTCTGACTAAATATAATCAATGGGGTTAGATCTTATGAATATAATCCAAGTTTACATATATTTTCAAAAGATTTATCCACTGTTTGGTTCCATTCCAATTCGTTAATTATTTATCAAATGAAAAAAAACAAATAAGCCTTTATTTACATTAATGATTAGTCATTTAATAAAAGTTCGCTCTCTCGAATAATCAATCATTGGTTGAGCAGAATCCATACATTATTCGACTTAAACAAAATAACGTATAAACGTTTATTTTTAAAATTTACATCTTAAATATGAATAGTGAACAAACAGTTATATGTGTCATTCAAAACTACACATCATAATGCACTTTTACTTAATTATTAACATTTACAATTAGAAATTCATTATGACAATATCCATTATACATCATACTTGTTAAAAAGTTAAAACAAACAACTTAATATTTTTCATTATATATGTGAATATTCAATAGTATACATCATATTTTGATATGCATCAATTTATCAAAATTGATTTTCACCTTTCAAGTCGTCTAGACTACAGTCGATTTCCTTACTCTGATGAGAATATATCCACTATCAATTCTTATATTGAAAATATCCATCATTGATAAATATATTATCAATATATAGTTAATATTTACAAAAAGGTGTTTATATGCAGTCATTTATTTGTTGAAATAAGATGGTAAAAATTACTAAGAATTTCCATTATTGAAACAAGCGTTAAATATCTCTAGATTTATTTCCCAATCATATATTATTATAAAAATTGATACAGAATCTAAATATTTATTATTATTAGGAGTTAATGTTATTTTATCTTTTTTGATAATAAATTAATAACATTCTTTTTATTTGATAGATTTACTAAATAGGATAGAGATCATTTAATAAATTGATTAGATATTTAACAACAAGATCAATAGAATATTTTTATTGATTATGAAAAAAAAAACAATGAAGAATATTAATTTGAGATAATTAGGAAAACTCGAATTGTTTATTTGTGTTTTTTTTTTGTTTTCATTGAAAACTAATAGATAATGTTCTTAATAAGAAATTATTTGTGATATGAAGAGTAATGCATTATTTATTGATGATAATTAAAATATTTATATATTTATAGTTGCCAATATTAAATCTATTGCGATCTGATACATCATTAATGACAAATAGTCAATGGAATGTTTTGTCAAATTTGATTCATAGTTATGATGAAAGTAAACTTTTAATCACTTGTCAACGTTTAATTAACGAAGATGAATATAATAAATCTCTCAAACCAATAAATGAAGCATCAATAACTGAATTCTTTTCATTACTATTCGAAACCATTGACGTGTGTCTTCGTTCGAATGGTGATCTTTGTAGTTTATCATCAGATGATCGTTCAATTTTACTTCGTACCGGTTCTGATTGCTTAATATGTTTAGGTGGAGCATTTATTTTATATCAATCTCAGTTAGAGAAATGTAGATCTTTCTTAGATGTTATTAATAATAAATATGGAAAACATAGTGTCGCTCTTACTCTTCATTCAATTAAATATATGGATCCAGATATTGTTGTTATGAAAATGGCACTTTTATTATTTGTTTTCTCGAAAAATCTTTGTTTATTTTCTTCACAATTATCAAAAGAAAATATCAATACAAATGCAATATTCTTAATTCAAAATAAATATGCTGAAATAATATGGAGATATCTTATATATAGATATGGTTATTATGATGCTGTTATCAGATTTATGAATTTAATTCAATGTCTTCTTGCTGTTATTCAAACAATGTATCATCTTCAAACAGTTCAATCACATGTTGAAGATGTTATATTACTTGCTGAAAATACTGAATTAAAACTGATTTTAGATGATATTGATCAAATTAATCAAACATATATGAATTAACTTTTTCTCACATGTTCACATGAACATTAAACTCTTGAATGAGATGTATTTTGTGTTGTTTGTTTTTTTGAAAATGCATGTTAATAGGAAGAGAAAAAAAATCGTCATGTTAACTTTTACTTGAATACATTTACATATTCGCAAATTTATTGATTAAAAAGAATTTTTCGCTTGAATAGAATTCATACTAATAAAGACGATTATTAAATTATAATTCAAAACGATAAACTATCTTATACATAATCTAATCTTATTTTGAATAAATAAATCTATTTAAATAATCTTGATCATAGTCGAACAATTAAAGATTAAGACAGAAGCTATTATAATTATTCGATCTCAAATCCATATTATCAGTTTATTCCATGAGTCAATTGATTATTTCTAATAATCTACTTTTGACATGAAATCGAGTTTAGTTTCAATTAATATCTTTAGCAAATAATGGATTAATTAAAAAGATTAATTTGACTTCGAAAGAAAAATTTTATGAATATATGCTTCATCGAACAAAAAAACAACGCTAAGCATCAAATACAAATTAAAATTCAAGCGTCAAAGAACGTCTTCTAGTCAATTGCATTTTGTAATCGAATAAAATGTCCCATTACCGGGTAAATCTGACTATTAAACAATAGATTTAAGTCAAACAACAACTAGATCAGTGCTCGAAAATCAGTTTGATCACCAAAACAAAAGCAAAAAAAAAACTTTCTCTTTCAGAGAATATTATAAAAAACCAGTGATTGACGCTAAATATGATCTGATTTTCTGGACATAAGTGTTTCTTCATTTTCTTGTTAAGTGTAGATCAGGAGCGACGGAACGCTTTGAAATTAGGCAAGACTCAGTTTATATCGAATTTTTTATGGTGAGATAGTTGTTCATGTATAAGAATACGGTTAGTTCAAAGATTTTCAGGTGGTTAACCATTTAAGACTTCAATTTCATACTGTCAAAAGAAGAAGTCCTTTACTTTCTTCTATTCTCTATACTTTGAATTTCTGAATCTGTAATAGAAAAGAAGAGTTTGAGTAAAGGTTAAGATTTGTTTTATTGAAATAATGACAATAGTCAAAGATAGTTTGCTATTTTTCTTACGACACTATAAATGTTAGCATGGTTTGTTTTAGATCTGTATCCAACAATATTTTTATTTATATAGATTACTCAACATTAATTAAACTATAGCAGTTCAAAGTGTATTCTTCACTAGATTTAATCTTGAAAATTCTTTCAAGTATTAGTATGATTATCAGAATAGACAATTTTTGAAGGTTGAATGTTTATAACAATAGACTTTACGACAACTGATTATAAAAAGATGAATAGACAAAGAGACGTCAAAATTCAAACATGAGTAGTTATCCAGGTTAAGCTAATCTCATACACAAATTATTGAAAATGTTAAGTTCTTAGTTGCTTGCTAAACGAGAAAATAGGTTCGTCAAAATTTCACCCTATTTTTAAAAATAATGTGCAGGTTTGCTTTCTGTTGCCATCACATTCCATTATTGTATGACAAGAGCGCGTAAATTTCGAAATGACCTATACTGCTACGATATAACATTAAAAAAAACACTTCCTTGAAAGAAAATTTCGTAGCTCTAGAAGAAAAAGCTTTATAGTATAATAGTAGACGAAATCCGCAATGACTATTCCTGTGGGAAGCTACTCACTGTTGTGTAAAATGTTCCTTCTACCTTTAAGAATTGGGTAACTAATCTCTAATTGATTTGGAAAATTCTCGAAAAATTTATTTCCTATTTAAAATTTCACGCGTTGCAGAAAGTTTTTGGTATATTTTATTCTTATCTCACCCATTTCATGCTTGATTAAGGAGAATGATCTTATCATTTTCTAGCACAAGTAAAGGCTATCATATAAAATGAATAAAAAATCTGAGATGTTCACGTTCTGATCAACTTTGACAAAACTTAATCTGGAAGGACCCTTAGAGTATATTGGAGATAAAATTCGAATTCATACCCCCTCATTTCTCAGACCGTGAAACGTACTCTGAAAATTAATGTAATAGACAAAAACGATGAGTAGTGACAGATTCCGAGAAACATTTTGATAAAATACCCAAATAATGTCTAGTTAATCAAGGGTGTGGGGTGTGGGTGTGTTATTCTTGATATTCATACCCACACCCACAGCCACACTCAACACCCACACCCTCAAGATAGTGGAGACATTGGAAATAAAAAATATTTTTATGGATTTTATTTGCCTGATCTCTGTTGATAATGTATTTCAAGTTTTTATGAGTCATCATCTCTTTAGAATAATATAATGCATAGAATATCCTCGTTTTGAACAATTTTGATTATTATCGCATCATCACTCTGAGAAAACATTTCAAGTCCGCAAACATTGATTTAAATGATCCAACCGTTTACGAATACGTTGAAATGTATTTTTCGTTTTTTGTTCTCATTTCTTGTCGGTTTAACTTTTTTATTCTTGTGCTATTCCAGTTAACTATCTCGTTCGTTCCCGTGATTCTCCCATTCAATCATATGTTTTTTAAATGATAGTACCATTTTTTTTTCTGTCCATGGTATCAGTCACCGATTCTTTGCTCATAGCTTTTTCATTTCTATAAATTGTATAATCTGACATGTTTTTTTGAACTTGTTGGATTTTTCCTTCGTATAGTCTAAGAGCTGATATAGTTTGATAGATTGGTACTCTCATCCGAGCGACTCGATATAGATCAATCTTTAAATTTCAGTGCTTTCATTGAAATATTTTACTCTGACATAGGCAATACAGATACATATGAAGCGATCGAATGTGCTCGATCATGTCAGTCTTTCATCTTTCTATTTATTGTTTAGAGCAAAATAGATTTTTCATTATTTTGTTTTTCTGTTTACGCCAGCAGAGACAAAGAAGAAGCGAATAGCATTAGTTCGATATTATTCATAAGTTTTGATTATATGTACAGTATTTTATAAATTTCTAATCTATTTCAATTTTTTATACTTTTCCAGTATCATAAAGTTGGACAAAAGTTGAGGATATATATTTATAAAGTATAATATCTAGAGTCAATGTACCTAAAACGAACGGACATTTCATAGGTCTTCATTGCAACTGTAATATCTCCGTCATTTTTCATCATAAAATGATTATTTTCATATTACGGAACAGAAGAGAAAAGTCTGCATTTGGTCATATAAAAAAATAGTTTGTAACTGTAAGAATAGTTGAGTAATCAGCGGTAGAAAATCAAAAATTAAAAACGTTCACTTTATGCGCATGTCCCTAAAGCGAACATCCAGCAAGAAAATGTCCTTAAAGCGAATGCACCAGAGTAAAACAAGCTAAAGTGTAAAAAAAAGTACAATATTTATCTATTTCTGCTCACAGATTTTAATAAAATTTTTTGAAATTGATATCATGCGATTCGTCATCTTTAGCTCTATCATTTCCTAGCGGTTCAGCTTAATCGATGTTGATTTCAATTTTGTATTAAATTAATAAAAAAAAACTTTCCGTTCGATATATTTGTACTACTCATAAAGCGAACGCACCAGCTATTTTAGCTGGAGACTAATGCTCTCTCAGTATTTCGTTCACTTACCATAGATCAACATCAAAATTCACTTGAACCTCCGCTAGCAAAAATATCTTCAGAATCGTTACGGCTACAATATACTAGCGGTTGAATTAGAGCATATAAAAAATAAATTCGAAAAGGGTGTTGGTGGGTGTGAGTAAGCTGAAGCCTAACATTGACACGTACTCACATCATATCCACACACTCCCACCCACCCCCATCCTTACCTTTTTTTCGGCATGTTTGTCGCAGTCTATGGCACAGGTGAGAAGAGAAATTTGTATGACTTTTCTTGCTGTATATTTCAAGAGAAATGCTTGAAAAAAATTCGAATACTTTGGGTGTACACATTTTAAAAATATCTTGATGTGAACATAATATGCATTTGTTTTTGGGGAAAGGAATCAAGGATATCACTATTTTCAATCGTTTGATGCAAAAAATCGGCCAGACTATTGAACATAATTGAACTCATTTTATTCAGAATAGTATAACAAATTTTATTTGAAATACACAATCGGTTTTGTTCGAATAATCCGTCTGTCAAAAATGTCCCGTGTGTGTCAATATTTGACCATTGCATTTAATTTGTGCCCTCACACTATACGTGTCATTGCCTACTGTTTGATTGACACCTTGTAATTGAAATTGTGCTTCTGCATAGTATGGCAAACTATTGGGTACCACTGTTTTTCTACTACCAGTTTGCCAAATATAGTGAATTTCTGAATTCGTTTGGTTATGAGTCTCGCCGACAATATTAGCCAAAAATGTGTTATATTGTTTTGCATAACTAGCACCTACTGTTCTTAGAACTCTGATTACAATAGTGAGATTTGACAGTGTTTGGTTACAGTTTATATAGACAAATTCAGTGCCGTAGTATCCTTCTGGTAACATTTTATACCTTGTTGAAAAGTTACAAACGTTTTTTGTGTCGATTGGGCACCAACTCGTTATTGGACTCTCTAAAAATAGAAAATATGTAAAATAGAATGTCACATGAATGATTGTATTTGTTTTCTAACAGTCGAGGAATGATAAGGGTCAATTTGAGCAACAATGTCTATCCAATAGTCAAGTGTCTCAAAATATCCAGCTTCACATCGGACTAATGAAATAGTTCTAATGGAGAAGAACAACTTGAAAGGTACAACTAAGTATAGGATACCGTAGATGTCTAAGGTATTGAATACGTTCGAAACAACAGACCTCGAGATATTCAAAAATGATCTACAATGTTAACCCACTGATTATCATAAGAACAAAGAAATCGATTGCATAAACTGGATAAAAACTCCTTTTTGAAAACAATAAGAACAATAGATAAGATTGAATGATAAGAACGAGAAAGTGTATGCTAACGACAAGGCCGTTGCTAGGTTCTCTGTGTGAGAGAAATTGATCAAATTTGAATCTACGAAACTTT